ATTTTTCTTCGCATTCATCATTTTGTGCTAAAACTTTTCATACTGTCTCATACTTTCTTCATCAACTTTAAAAGATAAGTTATTAATCTTTTTTTTTGGGGGGGGAGAATAGACGGTTCTCTCAAATTTAACAATATTTATAAAAATTCTATTAATTAATCTAATCTTAAAAAATTAAAATTATAGTGATAAATTAAAATTTTATGTAATATTAAGTTTCACTGATTCAATGAATTTAAATATTAATTTTGAACAAAATTTTTAACAACTTGATTAAATAATGACTTTTAGAGATCATTTAATACAAATCTTTAAAGAAATTAAGATAGGTTGACTTAATAATCTTATTTTTTTTCATGAAATATTAACTAAAATGTCCACATTGTATTAAAAATTGTTATTGTTAATATGGTTTTTGTTCGTCATATATTTAACATATTACATTTGAAAAATACTTTACGGAGGGCATGGGATCGTGGGATCGAGTCCTACGGATGGCATTTCATAATTCGGAAGTCTCTTACGGAAGTTGCTCTCAACCTGGTGTTGGGGGTAGCCTACTATATTACCTCCCTCTTACCCTATATATATGGGAAAAAGGAACAGTCGTTTTTTACATTTGAAAAATACTTTAGTAGTTTTTAAATAAAAGAATTTATATTAATTTTAAGGGATCCGGTAAAAGGTGCGGTCGTAGGGACGGCCTAGGCCTAGCTATTGAAATAATCTATTGGATGACATGTGCAATGAGGGCTTCAAAAAACAAAGAAATCCCACATCGATTTCCTTGGTATAAATTTACAAGTAATCAAATGGGAGAATAGATGGAATGTTTCAAAAGTCTTTTCACACACGAAGATTTGTCAACGTCTTCATTAGCTGTTACGAAAGGAAAACCAGAGACCAAACATACGAGTAGATAATAGTGGTGTCAACGCCTACCCGGCCCACCAACTCAATTGCTTCATAAATAGGGTATATTTTATTTCATACCAAACAAGCAAAGAGATAAAATTGTTTACATTGCAAGCAGATATTGGAATTCAAAGTCGTAGGGTATTTTCTCAACACTAATGGATGATGTCTTGCCACTCTTATGGTTCCTGAAACAGTCCACCATTGATTTCCTTAGTGAACCAGATGTGGGTAACTGCTGGCAAACCCATTGGACCAATGAGTTCTTATCCACTGCAAAGTCAAACATGTTCATCAACACAAGTTCTGGTAATGCAATCTTTTTTGATTTGGTCACCACGACTGATGCTTACTCTACTTTTGATTTCTCTAGCTCAGCTGAAACTCCATCACCCGTGTATATCTCACCTGAAAACAAAATAGAGGCTACTTCATTGATTTAATCACACAGACTTCCAATGTTAATTACCTTAACTTACTGCTGGAGAGGACCGAGTTCCGCAACACAGAGCAAACGTGACATTTCTATCCGTTAATTCGAACCCGAAAAGTTTTCCAACATTGGCTTCCTTGTCGTCTTCTTTGTCACCCTTTCCCTTTGGATAAGAGATCACGTTTCAAGATAATCAAAACCAGAAGAACTGTTACAGGGACAGTAAAAATGTACCTCTTCTATGTTTGAAGTCGTTGGTTTCCTCAGAATATGGTGCTCCATTGCTTGAGCACTTATTGTGTTGCCTCCAACGTTGAGAGTTGCCTGACAACGATATGACAATGTTATTTAACGGATGTGGGATGTCATTTCTTTTTAACACCTGCAAAACTAACCCGGGGTGTACCTTGTTGGTCATAGCCAAAATATCTTCAGAAGTATTAGGCAGACCATATTGGAGATATCCCTGTAATGGTGAAATGATCATTAGATATGATATTTTCCCCCTACATTACTCAAGCAAGCTCTGGGTATAGTGTAAGATTAAGCACAAGTCATGCAAAGACCCCTGTCAAGATGACATAAACAACAAGGCATTAAATAAATATAGCTTCATTTCCATACTATACATGCATGATACAGGCATTGTACATGTTGATCCAGAATGCTAATTTCTGCTGGTAAGTCAATGCCCCCAACTCCACCTTCTGGAGATTGCTCATCAGGACCCTGAAGACGGACAGTATAAGAAATTATCATAATTTGTATTATATGAAAGTCTACCCCAAGTTGACCCGATTATTCATTTTTCTTTAAGCACACGAGACTAACACATATTCACACATGGGTACAACCCTTCAAAAACATTAAAAGAAAAATCTTTATCAAGTTGCATATACCCAAACTCGAGTCCAAGTAGCATACCTTAGTTTTTTAAGTAAAGGAATAGAACTAGAGCTGGAAATGCATTTGGGGTCCATGGAGCTGGATGTGAATATGGCGAGGTTCTTGTAAGGACCAATGTCCCTCGGAATAGACTCTTCCACGTCGAAGATGCCATAGGGATCCTGTTGTCTTGATTTCTTCTGGAGAATTGAGTTTGGATTTAGGGCGTCTTCGACCCTAAAGCTTCTTGAGCATAAGAGAGTGTTGATAGACCTGGTAACAGTGCCTGATTTTTCCAGCTCCATTGCTCTTGATGTTCTAAGTAACCTCACAAAAATGAAGTTCAAACATTTCATGATATTCTCGGATAACTTGTTGGGATGCCAACTCTGACCGTTCTCTTCTGAAACAAGTCTTGATGGTGATTTTGGTGGCATGTCCCAGTTGGCCTCTAGAATTTGTTCCCTTGGCTGAAAGAAAGATCAAGAAGGTTCATTATGGATAAAACTCCATTTGTGATGAAGAGTTTGACTAGAATTGCAGAGTGTAAGAAGTTTTGCCTTGGGCGATTGCAATGGTGAAGATGCCTTGGGCAAACCACTTCTCCTTGGAGGCCTCTCTTGGAATCTAAACACCTGTCTTGTGTGCTGGTTTTCTTCCTGGTCTGAAACTTGTCCTTGGAGTACTCTTGTGGTTCCCGTTCTCTCATTAAGACTCATGAAGTCACCAAGAGTATAATCCCCTTTAATAGCTTTGCTAATGAAATGCAAAGCCTTGGTCTCAAAAACCACATTTTCTTGACCATCTTGCTTCATGGGGCTTCTTTGGTTAGACATAGTGGATAGATCCCCCGCAGGTTTTGATTTCTTGTCTGTGTGACTTGATGCTCCTGGTTCAGACCAAGTTTAAGCTGCCTTATTTGGCTTTCTAAACAACCAATCTCACCTTCAACCATAGCCAGCTCCTCTAACAGCTCCTTCATCTGCGATATTCAAACCAGATAGATAACTCGAGAGTTTCTTTTGTCAATTAATTAGAGTTCATTGAAATAGCAACACTATTACTTACTACATTGATGTGGTGAGCAACTGTGTTGGGAAATATATCTTACATGATTACTCAATTTTTTAAATAGATAAATATGGAGATCATCTTATACCATATTTTAAATAGATATGAACATGTAAGGAAAATGAATAATATAGATGAGAATTGCCTTTCTAGTCTAGAGCGTACATACAAGTCAAGGACAAGGTAGAATCCAATCTTTTCTAGTGATCTTAAGAAGTCATGCTATACAGTAGTAATATATTGCTTCCAAATACAGTAGTAATATGTAGAAAGAAATTAAATGGGAAAGAAAAGGGTTACTCTTGGAGGGAGGAAATCCGGAATAGAGATAGAAGTGGCATCCTGTGGATGATGAACTAGTGTCAGAATCTCATGCAATTTCTCTTCTTGATTTAGCATTTTCTGAAGCATGGAAACCTATAAATAGAAAAATAATCAACGTGTAACCCAATTTCTTGGTTAGCTGATTAAATTTGAAGCTAAAACTATCCTAAGTTGGTGCATAAGAATTTATCCAGAAATGATCCATGGACGTCTTACAAATTCATGCTACTCATGACACATGATATATATATATCCCCACATACCTCTCTTTCAAGTTCCTCTCTCTTCTGCAGCCCACTAAGCTTCTTCTTCCTCTAGAATTACAAATGAAGAAACAAATTGAAATAACAAGGCGTTGCCGAAAAGAAGAAATAGAAATGTTGTACTTACAATTTCCAAGGACAAATCCATGAATAACTTGACCAAAAACCCAGGGTGGATGAAACATTTATATAAAAAACATGGGGGAAAGAGAGGCAAGGCTTAAATCTAAAGGAAGAGAGTGAGGGGTAGTTGGTCTACATATATTGGCAGTTGAGAGTTATCTAGTATGACAAATGAAGATGGTGAGGAGCTTTCAGGATTTGGGCTAACCGTCTCTCGGTGGTGAGTGGGACATGCAGCAGATTCAAAACTTTTCACGTAACCTACAATCATCCTCTTTTTAACCTTATTAGTATTACCCTTCTATTTCTTTCCCACAGGAAAAGCTTCATGGTTATACAAGAGTTTTAAAATAATTTGTATGAAAAGATGATAAAAATTCGATTAAAAAATAAGTAATATTTTTTTTATCTTTATTTGTACTATTAATTAGTGACGTAATATTATAATTCCATTAAAATTCATGTAACTTTTTTATATTATTTAAAAAGAAAAAGTTGTAGATGTATGTCATGTCACATCCTTGGTAACCAGAGCAATATGTAATAACCAAAACCTTAATTTCCTGATTGTTGGCTTGTAAGTAGTGTTTTTGAGCATTATCATTTATGCATATGGGTAAAATCCACGCCTGCCAATTTCATAGCCATTTATGTATGAATACTTAAGTAAATTATGGTTAAAGCTACAATAAAGACGGAGGAAAAAGAAATAAAGCTTGATTTTATGTTATGACAAGCATTACTTAAAATTACATCACTTTGGAAGAATAGTCCAATTCCAATAATTAATTGTATATACAAACATTTTCTTGTTTCATGCAAAAGGAAGATCTAACTGCAATTCTTATACATTTCAAAATGCATCCATCCATCCATTTCCTAACTTGAAATCAGCTACCACAGAAACTGATATATATAGCCTTGCACTCTGCTGTTCCCACTCTAGCTTAGTCTCTTTAACGAAAGAGAGAGAAGAGAGACGATGCTTTCCTATTTGTATAATATGTGTACGTGTATGAACTAAGAAATGATGATAATTACAGTAAGAAATGTTGATGATTGAGTTCATCTTCTTTTGAAGGTTACCATACAAATGAAAGCAACAATACGGCTGAGTACACCGGTTGCAACAAGGTAGATCAGACAAGGACGAAAATTCTTTAGATCGTATCCGTTCTGAAGAAGCGAACCACATCGTGTTATCAGCCATACACCGGAATACCTAAAACCAAATAATAATAATAATAAAGATGGATCAACTTCAATACAAAATATTAAGGGTCGGAGCAACATGTTCACATTGACTAGTATATGGTGGATTCTAGAGATTGAAAGCTGACATTTTAGCATTCGAGACCACAAAGGCTTCCAATGCCCACTTGGTATAGCAGAAGTCACCAATAAAATTAACAACATCGCCGTCATTGCCTTGAGTTGCTATCAGAGTCAAAACAACTGGAAGAAGCACTGACCACTGCATTAAAAGCCAAAGGTAAAACATGTAATTGAGACAAGAGAGGTGGATTCACACTTGACATATTCACAATTCTTACCAGTTGAGCTTGACCTTGCTCAAAAAGGATGGAGAATATATATGATATGCCGGTTACACAGTATACCAGACAAAGTAAAACAAAGTAATTATCGGTGATGGTTGATCTTGGATTGTTGAAGAAGTAGAACATTGAGAGATACACCAGAGGCTTGATTATTGTATTGAAATGGTCGGTTGTATCCTTAGCTAGAAAGTAAGCCAAGCTGCTCATGCCAGATGAACGTTCTCTCCGGTAGTGCAGCTTATCCAAACCAAAGGTTCTCAAAGCTGCAATCTTGCATAGGAGTGCTGAAAGCAATCGTATTTCACATTGGTGAGAAATGGATTAAATATTTAATCTTGTAAAAATTCTACTGTCTTATGTTCACAGCTTCAAGGAGTTGAATGAAAGAGGACTTTTAACTTACAAACTCCAATAACTGTGTATGTATAACCCATTGCACCAAATGTCTCATCACTCACTTCAGCTAGTGTTCCTAAGCAAAGTCCAGCGAGCAATAAAATTAGATAATCTACCACTTGTGTCCTAAAGTCTCTTAGCCGTTGCTTTCCAAGCCTGCCAAGAATTCAGACATCATTAAAGGTTTAAAACTATGAACATTCACCATAATCAAATTTCAGAACTGATTAACAGGAGAAGCATTGAACATCTTATCTGAAAGATGTGATCACATATAAGCTATTGAACCCAGACTTGGGCGAGTGTCAGATACACATTCCGACACGATCATGCTCCCATTTTTTTCTTCCCTTATACCATATACTTGGACTATCATACCTTCATATCAATGTCCTGATATGTGTTGGACACAGGTGTCGAACATGAATCTTAAGAAAAATGAAGCATCCAGGTACATAGCACATAAGAACTTGAACTTCTACCTTCCAAGATAGTATCTGTACTGCGTGAATACACCAGGCGTTTTCCTTTGTGACAAGTCAGCTGATGTGAGGATATTATGTTGTACGTGGTCCATCTTTTTCTCAACAGAACATTTCACATCCTGCCACAATTCGCCAGCAAAGGAATTTGGTGTCAATTCAGTGCTGTGAGTACTATCGTCTCCATGCCCTGACCCACCAGATTGTGCTGACATTCCCTCCATACTATTCAGCATATCCATGGGAACAGGATAGCCATTGTGAAGCATCCATCTTACTGGAAGCTGTTTAACCGTCAAACCTGTGTCTGTGTTTAGTTTTATTATACCCTCCAAAATGTCAATATAGTAATCTGGAGGATTAGCACGATCAGGGAGATTAATTCCAAGGCCAGCAAAATACTCTTCGGCTTTCTTCACTGGCCCATGATATACAGTAAGTCCTCCCTTTGCTAGAAGTATCAAATCATCAAACATCCTGTACAAGGTATAACTGAAATGCCAAAAAAAAAAGAGAGAAAATCGGCATCCATTATTTCCTGCTTCTTATGAGCCATATTGGTGTATTGACAATGACACGTGTTTACTCCTTGGTAAAACCAACAGATTTCATAAATTTCCAAATTCCCATGATAATAAACTTACCTTGGCTGGTGAACGACCATGCAAATGTTTACTCCTTCAAGAGCTTCACGCCGAAGAGCTCGAAGTAATAATTGGGAAGATGAACTGTCCAAACCTGAAGTTGGTTCATCTAATATCAATAGTGAAGGTTCCATAACCATTTCCAGCCCGACATTTACTCGTTTCTTTTGACCCCCTGAGATTCCCCTCTTCTCCACTGTCCCAACTAGAGAATCCCTCACAGCCTGAAGTCCCAAGGACTCGATGACTCTTTCAACAACTAGAACTTTCTCTGGTTTAGGCAGGTCAGCAGCAAGTCTAAAATAGTTAGGAATCCAGTTAGTGACAAGGGGAAATTAATAGCATCTTTTCTAATGTAGCAGTTCACATGTAGAAAGCCACGCACACCAAAATTTTATATTTATAAACAGTAACACCATCTATAAATGAAAAGGGAAAGGTCTCCTGCATGGTTGAAATAAGTGTGGCATACCTGCATATAGCACTGAACCATAGATTTTCCGCCACTGTCAAGTTTCCATGCACAATATCATCTTGTGGTACAAAACCAATTATTTTCTTATATGCTTGGATTGACCCTTCCTTCCCATTTATTTGAACTGAACCAGTCATGGTACAACCTGGAGCTTTTCCAGTTACAGCTGAAAGAAACGTTGTTTTTCCAGCCCCAGATGGACCCATAACAGCTGAAACCCTACCAGGAGATAACTTCCCTGTTACGCACCTCATCAAATGTTTGTTTTTTCCTTTCAGAGTTATGGTTAAATCTTTGAAGGCAACCTCAATTGTAAGCCTCTTTCTGATAATGCTATCAACCTCATTATCCAATGAAATCACTCCAGAGAAGGTCAAGTGTTTGTGCTGCTCCTGGAGAGCTTTCTCCTTCTCAATTTGACCATAAGCATACCTGTATATTTGGCTCTGAGTATGCAATTCTTTACCCTTCGGTGGGTTCTTCTTTGATTGTTTATCTCCAATATTTATATTAAACCCTTCATGACTCTCAGGGTTATCTTCCATTTCATGTAATATCTTTGTGAGATTACCCTTTTCCTTCTTTTTTGACTGCTGAGATGTACTCGTAGATAATCCAGCATCTGTTCCAGGTTTACCTTGACTTGCTGGTTGCTTTTGAGATTTCTTTCTGGAAAATGTACGTGACAACGATGTATGCAGCTCAATAGCGTGCTTCTTAGCAATTTCTTTTGCCGAAGTCCATTTTTCACGTGCTTGAGCTGTTTCTCTCACACTTTGAACTGCCTTCTCCCTGGATAGCTCTTTTTTCTTCTCTCGAGTTGCAATAACTTGATCAGACCAGTTGTATATAATGACAATTAGGAATCCAAGTCCAGCCTATATTGGCAAATTCAAGATTCAGAATTTTGTGTGTGGATAGATTTTTGGCTATTATTTCATTGAAGAAATTAACCACTAATCTAAAGACAACCTTCAGAAAGAGCAAATGAACATCGGAATATAATTTTAAAAAAGAATGATACGTTCCAATGAATGAAAAATGCCACATCGTTTAAAAGGTAAGCTGCTCACTCACAAAAAGCATGATGCCATATGCAGTGATATTTTGATTTGTCGACTTTGGATTACAAGTTGCAAACTGGAAGCATGCTGCAAAGTTCAATTGCCTAAAAAGGTTAGTTACTGGGCTTCTTTCACACATTGGGAAATTAAATTAAAAAAAGAAGGAATTACGGCTAACCGATATACTCCTATTCAAGGCATGAGTATGACATGTAGAACATGATACAAATTAGATTCTCATAAGAACTTATATTGCAGGGTATATAGTTTCTTCGTATTGGCCATTCGGCCCATACTCATGAAGAACTTCACTCGAAAGTACTGCAATTTGTCAAGGAACAAGACTCAATTTAATAGTAAGTTATATGAGGAAAAACTTACTTAGTTGAGATGTAGAACCTGTCCTGCAGTAATATCTGGAAGGAACAAACAATACAAACAGATAGTCAAACCAGAAAGTATGAAACAAATGGTATCGATGCATTTGGGTTGGTGTTGGGGGGGAGGGATAAGTAGGCAAAGTTGTGGGATAATATAAATACCCTTTACTGCAAGGAACTTTTTCGATGGTAGATGGACAGTACGATCCGCCTGAACAGAACACGTCAGCACTACTCATAACATCTGCCCAAGTATCGGCTCCTCCGCATTTATGATCCGGATTACCAGGAGGTAGTTGATAATTGTATCTGCAAAGGAGTTCTGCTACTGATATTAGTGTATGCTAAAGAAGAACAAAGCCATGGGTCAAAATGGATCAATGTTTAAAACAAGAATGAACTTACGGGTCACATACGCCAGTACTCGTGTTGAGTTTTGCAAGTGGACAGTAAGCACCCAATGGACAAGCTTCAGTAATGAAGGAAAAACAAATTTCAAAACTAGCAACTATTTTGAGATTGGCAGGCATTTAAAAAAAAACAGAAGTTGATGTTTCTTAGTGACAAAATATCAAACACTTACGTATCATACAAGTGATTCCACGAGGGCAGAAGAATCCTTCACAACAAGCTGAGCAGTTCAGAACTCTGTACGGCATCACAGAGGCATCTCTTAGATTAACTTTCTGGTTTTTACCAGCACTACAAGCCCATCCAGGCTCACACCCAGAAACCCAAGATGTTAAATTACAGTTCTTATTAGGCTTCAAAAAAGCCGACTTCTTTGTTTCACCTCCACTCTGGTGGAATCTGCTAAAGTAGAATTTGATTTCTGCTGCTGTACATATGCGTTTCATCATGTCTGTTCAAATCCCCCCAAAAAATCATTCAATTCAATGATCTGAATTTTAGATTTAGCATATATATATACATAAAACTTGAATTCTGAACCTCTATTTGTTCGGACACATTTGGCCAAGAATTTGGGGTTTTTTGAGAAATTGAATGCATCGTTCCAATCTGCATCCCTGCAATCCAAGAAAAACGAAAAATTTCATAATGTGTATATAAGAATTTACAAGAAAAGAAAATAAGGCACAGAATTTTGAAAACATACACATCCGTAATGCAAAAACTAAACTTTTCCTTTATATCGTCCTTCAAGGTAGAAGAAAGATTAGAAAAGCGATCGGAAGCGTATTGGGAGAATAATTGATTAGCAGCCGAGCTATTTCCAAACTTACTAGCGCCATCTTCATCATCGTCTTGACATACAACGTGACCCAACAAAGTAGATATCAATATCAAAACATGAAGAAATCTCCATGTTTGGAGCTTGTTTTCAGTCATTTCAATTATATATTTACAAAACTAAAAAAAAGGGAGGGATTTTATTTATGTACATGAGATGAATCGAGGAGAAATTAAGTAATCATTTGAGATGAAAGAATGAATATGAAAAAAGGAAGAGAATTATTTTGTTTGGATATTTTCAAGGGGAAGAAATGGCAGGGAGAAAAGGGAGGGCGAAATCGTTTAAACCGTTAGAACAGGAAGCATATCACCAACAATTTGTGTTTTCTTACAACTTCAAACAGATGCCATTGAAACTTTGTTGCCTGTGTTCCATTCACTTATTCTAATTTTGGGTCAAACAATTATTCATAATGAAATGGAATAAAAATAGTGTAAATTATTAAATATGGTTTATTAACTTGACTGTCAGTCTCACAGCTCTCTATCATCCTCGTGACTTGCGTATCATTTTGAAGAAGAAGAATAAGCATTGCAGGTTACTGGTTATCCACAAGATTGAGAACATCCTTTGGTTCTGGTACAAGGGAAATTCTATAATTCAAGTTCAATGTTTGATCTACTTGAATGCACTTGGAGTTCATGCTCTAACCCTGAAGAAAAATTGTTCTTCCGTTGGAGCTAACAGAGAGCATGCTCTTGATGGTGAAAAGGCCTGCAGTACTTTACGCTTTTTGGTTCAATATCCTACACAATCGTCTTATCCAGATATATATATCTCATGGCACATGGTGACTGTCTGCAGAAGATTTCCATGTATGTTTATGCTCCTCTTTCACTTGATCCTTCTTTCTTTTTCTTTTTTTTATTTTTCTTTTCCTTGTTTCTTCATCGTGCGGATGCTTATAGGAATGGTGAATGGGGTGATCATGTCACTTTCCTTGTTTCGGAACAAGTATTTGAGTGACAGGAAGAAGCACATCTACGGCACCAGTTATTTGTACCATGTTCGATTCAATTTGGACTTTTAAGAGCAGATACATCATCTTGCTTCATCGCTCCCACTTGATTTGTAAATTTCTTGAACCCCAAATCATCTTCAAATAATATAGACATTTTTCTTTCAAAATGCAAGGTTTGTGCATTTCCTCAAACTTCAGCGCTTGCAAATGTACATTTCCGAGCTCACTTGCTAAAAAGAACCATTTTAGTAATTGATTTAAATAGATACTAAAAGGTTGTTATATCGGTCATCGTACAGTCGTACGTACTCATATAACGACATTCATCTATTCGTACAGTTATATACTCGTATAACGGTATTCATTTATGATTTATTCATACGATTGTACTCATACGACGACATTCATCTTTGAATCCATTAAAAGAAAATTCAATGCACAAGTCAAACTGAAGAAGAAGTTGAGAAACTTTGTTTTGGGTTAAATGTCCAAAACCAATTCTTGAATTGGTACACATAAAGCTTAAGATTACAGCATATCAAAGTGCCAGATATTAGCTGATTAAAGTTTTTTATTCATCCCAAATAACAAGAAATTTAAGTTGTTGTCCTTCTTGTTGTTGTTTGTTGACTAGATTCCCTCAAGCTTTCCCTTCTTTGTCATGAGTTGATGTAACTGAGTTGAGCATTGCAATCTCATTAGCAGAAAAATCCAAATTAAAATTTGAAACCATGTCAAACTCAAAAGGTGGCAAACCGGCTTCAGCCCTGGAAACCCCGGAGACGTTCTTGAGCTTATCTTGATTATCGGAGACAAGTTTTGGCTGAGAAAAGTCCAAAGAAGGGGAATAATCCGATGAAAGCAAAGGGAAAGCAGAAGGGAAAGGAACTAAACCGGTGGGGTTGGAAACCGGAGGAGCGGTGGAAACAGCAGGCGGGGTGACGGTGATGCCGGTTCCAGTGGCAGCAATGATGGATGGCTCGGCCTGACGCAGGAGCCAAGCAATGGTCTCACCGTCGGTCTTGAGCCCGAGTTCCCGAGTGAGCTGGAAAATCCTAGCGGCACAAATAGGTGGCAACCTGATGCGTCTGTCTCTGCCGTCAACCTTTGCATGGCGATCTTTGGTGGTTTTGGAGGAGCTGGCCTTGTTTTGCGAAGAGGACCTCGATTTCTTGGTTGAAGGGTTGGTGGATAAAGCCGTCTCCAAATCCATTTTCTTCGACGCCATTGATTGATTTGCAGGAGGTTTCAGTTTGATTTCAGGGTGGGGGAGGAGGTATATATGGCCTTTTGTTTCTATGACTTTGAGTTTGAAGATGAAACTTCAACGGACAAAGTATGCAACTAGTCACCTTGTTTTACAAATGTGCACAAAATACCTTGAGTTCCTTCTTCGTAACGTGCAAAAGGTGATGTAAGGCTGTGATTATTATTTACTACTGTATATGGATTCTGGGAATAGCCCCTTTTCTTTTCCATTTTGCAACCCACTCTTGCTTGCTCTGCATGAACCTTCTATCTCCAATAATACTCCGCCAAATACCATAATTAAATGTTGTTTAGTTGTCATTTAAAATATTTAATCACCAAGCATATATATTTGGTTTAGAATTAAATGTACTTAATACTTTTAGTAATTAATACAAAACCTAATTATATATGTGCCATTTATTCTCTTTTTTTTCCAATGTGAACACGACGTTAAAAGAATGACTAGTTTTTTATTTGAGGTTCATGGTTATTCATTCTAACAATATTATTTTCAAAATTCAAATTCAAATTTTCATTTCGAAAGTCTAATATGTTTTATCAATGACTAAATTTGATACTCCATTAGATTTGGGATAAATGAAATTTTATTAAATTAATTTTATTTAAATATTTATATAAGTGATATATCTCAAATTTATGTATTACCTATGATCTAATATAATGTATTATATGATATTTGAATATTGGTTTATGTAACCGTACATATATAATTTTGACTTTTATTCAATTATGTGATATAATTTTAAGAAATATGTAAATAAATACAAGTGTTTCAAATGAATATAATTGTTTGTAGGTGAAATAAGTGAATGTGTGATATCTAAGATCGGTAATGATGTTATTGTATATAAGAATAGAATAAAATTACAATTACATATATAATCATAAAAAAATTAAATTTATGAATTATATTATACATTAAATTTAACTTCATGAATAATGTTGTGATTTATCCATTTATATAAATAAATTCGAGGTGTTTTGGATATTATATATAAAAATATTTTATTAACATATTTTAATGTTTGTTAGTATGAGTTATAATCACATAATTACATAAATTTGCATTTAACCTAATTAATTATTTTTAGTTATTTTATAAATCTCTAAATAGATTTATTTATTAAATGTTAAAAATAAAATTATATCGTAATTTAAATATTAGTGAGTTTGAGACTGTATCAAGCTTGGGAGTTCTTTAGTTTGTTGAAAGTTCAAGAAACAGAACACAATAGCAAGGTCATCAGCAAAAGCTGAATATAGAGATATGACTGTTGCTATGGCGGAATTGAAGTACCAATAACCTTATGGCGTGATAGTCAGGCAGCCTTGCAGGTCGCTGCAAATCGAGTTTACCACAAACGAACTGAACACATCGAGATTGAGTGTCATTTTACACAAGAGAAGATTCAGAGAGGTGTTGTGCAGACGCTGCATGCACCAATGAAAGATCAGCAAGCATATATCTTTACTAAAGATTTGGGAGTTGCTCAACATGAATACATGTTATCCAAGTTGGGAGTGAAAGACATATGACTCACCAACTTGAGGGGGGATGTTGAGGTAGTTAAGTTGTTATAGGGGGTTATACGGTTAGCTTGTAAGTTTGTATATAAAAAGTATATTGGTTTGTGATAGGGGGAAGTGTGATTGTTGGTGAATGAAGAGAAATACTTGAGAGTTCTCGAAATTATACAAGGAAAGGAGAGGTAGAGGGAACCAAAGTAGTCGCAGACGGTGACATTATTGAATGTTTACGGTAGGATTTATTTGTGAGTTTCTATTTGTTTGCAGAGGATGAGGAAAAATATGGTGTTTCAGTGGTGCTAACCATGACGGAGTGGAGGGGGAAGCCAAGTTAAGTGACAGTGATGGTGGTTTCATGGCCCAAAGTTTTTAGTGTGAGGTTGAAACTTTGCAAGTTAAGTGAAAAACATGACAGTAATATGAATATTAATAAGAATTATCTGAATGATGATTCGTAATAATTTAGAGGTGAAATTAAATATCAATTTTTTATTAAAATTATATGTTATTAAATTATTGAGAATTGATATTTAGAGGATTGATTTATTACAAATCGATAATGTTAGTGATTGTAATATAATTTTTAAATTTTAGATGTAAAAAAAATTAATCTAAATATTAGTGACTATTTATGTAGTTTACCTCTAAAAAAATGATAAATAACTATTTTATAATATAAATATATTTATTAAATTAAAATATTTTTTAATATAATGTTATTTATAAAATTATTTAAACTAATATTCACTCTCGTATAATTAATGTATTGTTTTTTAGAAAATGTAATAAAATATTATACTTTTAATAATAACAAATAAATAATAAAAATTACTTAAAATTTGTAATTAAAAAAATACAAACGATAGTTTTATATTAGGTTTAATATAAAAAAGTTGTTCAAATTATATCTCTTTTCTCATTTGGCTGAATAATATTTTTAGGTGTCTAAATTTATGAACGTTACCGGTTTAAGTGTCCTGACCATATCGACCGTTAGAAAGTTTATTAAGTAACACTTATCCTATTTATATAATTTAATTTTTTAAAAAAAACTTAAAAATAATATTATATTTATAAAAAATCCTAATTTCTTTAAAATTACAAAAAAATCTAAAGTCATCTCTAAAATCTCTAACCATAACCTTATCATCTCCTTTGCTGGCCACATCCACCATTATCGTTGTTGTTCTTGATCTCTCTTTTGTCGATCGTCGTCACGCTTGCTGTCGAGATTGTCGGTTTGCATGGGAGTCACAATTTTTCCCTGTGTTGTTTGTCAGGTGGCTATTCATCTGGGGGAGATTTGGTCGGGTGACGGTTTAGTCAACGTCAACAGTTACAAAATGTGATGACCGACATGGGTATATAGATTAGAATTAGAGTTTTTAAATTTTTTTTTAGATTTGAGAAAATTGGGTTTTAAATTATAATTTTAAGTTTTTTTTTTATTTTAAATAAAAGTTTTAAAATTATATAAATACTACACATGTCATTTCTTTTTTAATGGTTGTTACTGTTGAGACATTTAAATAGAACGTTCGTAAAATTAAACACCTTCATTGACCGAAAAATTGTATGCACCAAAAATGAAAAAAGTTACGGTTTAAGCATTTTTTTTATAATTCAATTTTATTACCCAACGAATCAAGAATTGCTACAAAAAATAACCGACCACAAAAATCATATGTACACCATACTTACAAAACAAAAGATCGGTTAATCAATACCCCAAGAATTACATAGGAAAGTATTGATACTATCAGGCATATTAATATTTACCCCCCTCATTTTGATAGAAATAGAATCTTTGATGCAAGCAAAAAGGTCTTCAGCAGTCCTTGTACATCCTCGAAAAATTCGTCTATTACGTTCCTTTCATAGTACATAGATTTTGGCACACCATGCAATCTTTAAAATGATTGAGATAAGAGATTTACCTTTCCAGATATTGCTTGCCCATGTGATCATATCTTCCTAGGTTGAGATTGGTTTCTTTAACCCATTATGAAGCAATATTGAATCCCATAAATTAGCAGCCATTGGACATTCAAAGAATAGGTGAGATCGAGTTTCCATCATTCCGTTGCAAAGCACACAATTCCCCAAGGTGGTAATCCCCATTTGCAAAAGTCGATCCCGGTAGGAAGTCGATTAAGCATTTTTTTAGATACACCTTTATGGTATAGTAATTAGAAAATAGTTGGAAATTGAGAAAAATAAATATAATTTTATTAACTAACATGTTACATTTTCAAATTAATGGTTCAATAATCAAATATAATAAATTGATAACCTATATGATTGTAATATATATATATATATATATTAAAATTATTATTTAAATAAGATAAATTAAAAATAAAATAATATTAAATATTTTTTATAATTATTATATATTTTTTAAAATTATTATTAAATAAGATAAAATAAAAATAAAATAATATTAATTTTTTTTTATAATTATGTTGATAGTTTTAGTGTTGAACTATGTTTTGATATAACAATTTATGGCAAAATATTTTTGGACTTGAATTGATTTTTTTCAAAGTTTTCAAAAATATTTCAAAGTCCATTTAAGTTGGAATTGAGCACAATTTTTTTTATAAATAGTACTATATTGTATGAATAGTACCGATACTGTATGAATAGTTCGATATTGTGTGAACATTGATGAACAGTACTGATGCTAAAAAACATCGAATGCAAAATGAGTACCGATACTGCTACAGTAGTATCAATACTGCTATAGTAATATCAAGCCCAACGGTTAAAAATTCAAATATTATAAAGGTAGTACTGATACTCATTTAAGGAGTACCGATACTGTTATTAGTATATGTTAATTTTGAGCTTCTGCAAATCCCAACATTTAGTGATTATGTTATTAGTATATGTTAATTTTGGATTCAAATTTTATTAGTTTTACAATTAATATAATTTTTATTATTAAATAATAATTTAATACGATGTTTATTTATTGTCCAAACTTGATTAATATCCGTAGAAATGATTATAAGGGTGCGTTTGGTTTCCAGAATATAAGATTACAAACGGGAATAAGATTACCGGAGGGAATAAGATTACTGGAATGTTGTATTTTGTGTTTGGTTCGTTTAGCAGGTATGTAAGATTATAATATTTGGTTAAAGAAATAAAAGATTATTGGAATGTATATTTTACCAAATTGTCCTTATTATATATTTATTTTTTTAACAAGTTGAATTCTACTATAATTAATTTATATATTTTCTTTAAAAAATTTAAATTCATAAAATTTATATATATATATATATATATATTACAAAATTGAAAAGATAAATAGGTTTAATGAAAGGGTAAAATTTTATTTTAACCCATGAACTTCATATGAAATTATAATTATGAATTTTTTTTTTGTAAATCTAAAATAGTTTAAAGATAAATTTATAATTTAACCTTCGTAGATTTTTTTATTCAACGACCGAAGAAAGATATTTTTGAAAAAAAAATTTATAAAGACATTTTAATTCAAAACACCGATAATTCAATAATACCTAAAAAATATTCACATTCCAATAATATACTTTCAAAATATCCCAATAATATACTTTCAAAATATCCAAATAGGGAAGGACAGTCCATTTCCTAATAATGTGAGATGAGAACCAAACCCCCGCTAAAATAAAATAAGGGCAAATTGGGCGATTGAGAGGCAAGACATTAAACTAAGGCCAAAAGACTCGTAGGTTATACAAAATGGCAGAACGTTCTGGAACATTTAACTCTTAGGGAGTATTAAAGAAGACCAACCCTAGTTTCGTAAACGCCTTCATTCTTACTCTGCTATCTGCTAGCCTCCTTATCCACTCCCAAAGCTCTCAAACAAAAACGCCCTCTTTTCCTTTGTTACTTTAGTTTTCCTTTTCGGTCACCATAGCAAAATGGCCTCTGCAAATGCTCTTTCTTCGGCTTCTGTTCTTTGCTCTACCAACCAGGTAATTTCCTTTATTGCCTTCATTTCATTTCCTCCTCTTTTTAGTTGTAAAAGCAGTCTTTATTTGAACTATGGATTGAGTTCTTTTTTTGCATATGGGTAGTGAAAGAAACGATTCAAGTTTGGCTTTTTGGAGTTTATTAATGAGTGTTGAATTGCAGGGAAGCTTGAGGAGGAAGGGAAATCAGAGGCAGAACCAAAGGCTAAACCATAGGCAAGGAAACAACCGATTTGCTGTGAGGGCTTGTGCCAAGGAAATTGCTTTTGACCAGCGTTCAAGAGCTGCAATGCAGGCAGGAATTGATAAGCTCGCTGATGCTGTTGGCCTTACTCTTGGTCCTAGGGGTAACTTCTATTTTCTATCTTCTCCATTTGTTTGTTCCTTTAGTGTTAGGATTTATTTATGTTTTAATGTTGGAAGATTTCGTATTGGCTCTTGAGTCTATTTCCCCGTAAAAGAAGAGGCAAAAACTTATTCATGTTGTATTTAATGTCACAAATAACAATTGCTTTACTTTTTCCTGGTTTAGAAAGTATAAAGTTCATACATTGACTGGGTGATTTGTTTATCGCGTCCGCTTGTAGACAGCTATAGTTCTGCAATACTTTGTAATGTATGGCTTGTGTTCTTAATGCTTCGACACTTTTTTTATCATTTTGCGTTTTTTTAGTATTTCAACATATTTTGATGGATGGTCTCAATTACATTAACTACAATATGTTTGTTATTCTAAAGGGAGGAATGTTGTTTTGGATGAATATGGAAGCCCAAAGGTAGTTAACGATGGGGTGACAATAGCTAGAGCTATTGAGCTTCCTAATGCCATGGAAAATGCTGGTGCAGCTCTTATCAGAGAGGTTGGTCGGCACTTGTTTTTATTGTTGTTCTCCTGATTATATGTTCTGTTAAGCCTTTCTTCTGACCAAAACATGGTCATTCACATTGACATTATTTGTTTGTTCTTTGGCTGTGGGATGAAGGTTGCGAGCAAAACGAATGACTCTGCAGGTGACGGGACAACTACGGCAGCTGTTCTTGCACGGGAAATAATCAAACTTGGGCTTTTGAGTGTTACCTCTGGTGCAAACCCAGTCTCCGTGAAAAGGGGTATTGATAAAACTGTACAAAGTTTGGTCGAAGAGCTAGAAAAGAAGGCCAGGCCTGTTAAGGGCCGTGATGATATCAAAGGTATGCTGCAGAAAATTGATTATATTCTGTAATTATCCAGTCTGCCTCTGGCAGAGAGATTCCATTTTTAATTTTTTAAGTGCAATACTGATGCTTTTACCTTTCAGCTGTGGCTTCCATTTCTGCTGGAAATGATGACCTTATTGGAACTATGGTTGCTGATGCAATTGACAAAGTTGGTCCTGATGGTGTATTGTCCATTGAGTCATCGTCCTCATTTGAGACCACTGTGGATGTTGAGGAAGGAATGGAGGTATGCTATGCTTTAAGTTTCCAACCCTCTGATTTTTACCATTTAAAAGAGAACTGACCCATATGTTTTGGTGGCAGTAAAAATCCGGTTATTCTAATTATTGCTGCTTCTTTTCCTGTCGTCTTGCAGATTGATAGAGGTTACATCTCACCACAGTTTGTAACAAATCCCGAAAAGTTAATTTGTGAGTTTGAGAATGCAAGAGTGCTAGTAACTGATCAAAAGATTTCAGCTATAAAGGACATAATTCCCTTGCTGGAGAAGACTACTCAGTTAAGATCTCCTTTGCTAATAATTGCTGAGGACGTCACTGGAGAGGCTCTGGCCACCCTTGTGGTAAACAAACTGCGAGGCATCCTAAACGTTGCAGCCATTAAAGCTCCTGGTTTTGGTGAAAGGAGAAAAGCTCTCCTTCAAGATATTGCCATTGTGACTGGTATATAAACTATTGTTGAATTCCGTCATTATTGTTAGTATTATTGGAACATTAAATTGTGGAATTTAGCATTTGTTTCATTATCTAAACTGTAGGTGCTGAGTTCCAAGCTAGTGATATGGGTTTGCTGGTTGAGAACACATCTGTTGAGCAGCTTGGTATTGCCAGAAAAGTGACCATTACTAAGGATTCAACCCAACTAATTGCTGAGGCTGCTTCAAAGGATGAAATACAAGCTAGGGTGGCACAATTGAAGAAAGAGCTAGCTGAGACAGATTCTATTTACGACTCAGAGAAATTGGCTGAAAGGATTGCTAAACTATCTGGTGGTGTTGCGGTCATTAAGGTTGGGGCTGCCACAGAGACTGAACTTGAGGATCGTAAGCTACGTATTGAAGATGCCAAGAATGCTACCTTTGCTGCCATAGAGGAAGGGATTGTGCCTGGTGGTGGTGCTGCCTTAGTTCATCTCTCAACATGTGTTCCTGCAATTAAGGACAAGCTAGAAGAGGCTGATGAACGCATTGGAGCTGATATTGTGCAGAAGGTAAGTTTGTAAAATGATGGAGGTTGATTTGATTATTTGGAAACTCTGTTTTAACTAGGGACTATATATGGAGATGTCATGAATGTAAATATGCATTCAGTGTGAGACTAAAATGTTGCATCTGGATCTGACATGTATGGATTGATTCATTATGTTCCCGTGCAGGCTATTGTGGCACCTGCCTCGTTGATTGCTCAAAATGCAGGTATGGAAGGTGAAGTTGTGGTCGAGAAGGTGAAGAACAGTGAATGGGAGATTGGTTACAATGCAATGACCGACACGTATGAGAACTTGCTGGAGGCTGGAGTTATTGACCCGGCAAAGGTGACAAGATGTGCGCTGCAGAACTCAGCTTCAGTTGCAGGAATGGTCCTTACAACTCAGGCCATTGTTGTCGAGAAACCCAAGCCTAAGGCTCCTGTTGCTGCTGGACCTGCAGAAGGTAGTCTTATGGTTTAAGTTCTAGGAGAAGTTTTTCCATAGATGAAAAACAATATTTGTGCGGTAAATCAGTAGAAAATGCAAGATGAAACAAGGTTGTGTCTTTTTTTTTTGAATGGATTAATAAAAAATGTGGTATTAAGCGCATTGTAACCTTGGAATATTAAACTATGTTGATAGACATTGCATTAAGAAAAAAATGTGGCATGTGTGGTACCATTTCCATTTTACCAAATGGAAGAAATACCAACACAAGAAGCTTAGAATTCCATTAAAGATTTCTGATTCTATTTAGTAAAATGTGAGATGATTCCAAATGTCCAATTCTGTAAGGCCCAACGTCTGCACGTGAGTAGTCTTTATACCGTTGAAATATTATTACCAAATCCTCTCATTCTGCTACTTTTGATTTTTTTTGCCCGAGAAGAATTAGAACATTTAGATTTTTTTATATATATTTATGCTTTTTTTTCGCTTTAACTTGGATCAAATTGACTGAAAAATTATGCAATTTACATTGGTAATTTTATTTTACGGTAGTCTAATATAAGGTTAAGAAAATACGTTATTGGAAATATTAATAATTTTTTAATATTTCCGGTTGAAAGTTACTTAAAATGTTATTTTTCTATCGAAAATATTAATTTTACTACCTAAAATGAATATTTTTTATATTAATATTTTCATTAAAAAAACATTTTAGATAGCGATCGATATTAATATTTTTAATAAAAAAATAATATTTTAAGTAGCGTTCTATCAAAAATATTAAAAATTATTAATATTTTCGATAGCTTATTTTTTAACTTTTATATTATTATGCTACTTTTCCTAAAACATCCCCATTTGCATGCCATGCCAACGGGCATTCATAATCCCATATTGCCTTGGCTCTTGTGTCGTATCCAATGCCTCCTAACTGCTCCAATCAGGGCTCGGATGCATTCAATATCATTTCTTAAATTTAATATTATTTTAATACAGTTGCTCGAATTTAAATTATTTAAAGAAAATAATATTTCTTTTTACTAATGAGGTCACTTAATCAATTTAATATTGTGTTAATTTTGTATGTTATAATTGGAGGAATTTTTAGGGGCTAAAGCAAAAACTTACTAATTTTCATTATAGAATATAATTAAGTCTATCAAATCTTTATTTGATTAGTATCATATTATCGCAATAATTTAAGTCTTTGTTTGACGATTTGTTTAAAAAATATAATCAACATAAGTTATTTTATAGTTTTTTCATAAAAAAACATATAAGGATCTACTCATTATCTAATTTAGAATATTTTTTTATAGATTTTACTTTACTTTATTTAAAAGTATATTATCTTTTAAAATTTTATATCTATTGAATGTTTTAACTATATATCCAACATTTAATTTTGAATAATATCCAAAAAAATTATGATTTAAATTCATTACTTATTTTTTTCAACACCACATTTTGTAATTTATCAATCAAACAAATTCAATGAAATGTGAATTGAAATGCGTTAAAATACAAAATATTTTATTACTTATTTAATTTAAGATTTAGAAGGATTGATAGGTAGTTTAGATCTTAGAGATATCCACAAAGCATTATTATTGTGGAATCAAATGTTGAATGTAAGTAGTTTTATAATCATTTTCAAATTGTATGTTTAAAATATGGCTGTTTGAAATGATCAAATCTTGACAAAAGGAGATTCTCTCCGTTTTATCTTTCTTTTCAGCTAAAACGACTCTTTATCAAGTGAAGTAGTTATTTTGATACACAATTTTCTCTAAACTTAATTCAATATTTATCCAATCTAAATGATTATTTAATTATACTTTATCGTATTTAATGTTAGAAAAAAATGTTAATCCGAGATAATAATAATAATAATAATAATAATAAATATTATTATATAATCGAACGAAGCAAAATAAATAAGGAGTTAAAATAGAGGAAAGTGATTTGTTTACCCGTATGTAGACACTGAATAGGATGAGTAGAGTAAGATAAATTGAAGAAGGATTTTTGTTGAGGCCTGTATGAACAATTTCCTTAAGACATATTTGTCCTCTCCTAGGTGCTTTGAGTAACGTTGGACGTCAGTCTCCCAGAATACAACAACAAACGATCACAACAGTAAGCACAATCGTAGTGATCAGTCGAACACAATCATGCCTTTCTTTATCATCGAAAAGAACGAATTTAGAAGGAATTTTCTAAGTGTTTTCTAATTCAACACTGTGAATTGTGTCTTGTAACTTATGTTGTGTTGTGTCTTAGAATTGTGCCTCAAGTAACCTATATATAAGGAGAGGAAATGGATTGAATGGTTAAGTCCTTTAGATGAAAGGATTTAATCTTTTCATGAAGAGAATTGTTAAATAGGTATGATTGAATGGATCCAACTTTAAACTAAAAAATAAGTCCATTCACTAAGGTACATGACTTATTATAATAAGTCCATTCACTAAGGTACATGACTTATTATAATAAGTCTATTCACCAAGTGACATGACTTATTATAAATAACATCAATTTTATTCAATTAAACTATTAATTTTTCCAACAATCCCCCATATGAATGAAATTGATGATTTCAAACATTAACTCGATATGGTGATAGATTTTACGTTTGATATTTGCATAGGATAGGTAGGTGTTCCCATTTGAACCTTCCATTGTGAAAATATGTTTACCTTACTGACTGTCCAGTAGACATGATGTCTTTGAACTGTCCTGACGTTGGTGTAAGCAATGACATACCTCACACAAATATCTCACTGACAAGAATTTGGTTCTCATGGTTATATACATATAGTCATGGACATCTCTTGGTTCTGCAAGAGTTTAGAGAACTATGCCCCAATAGTCTCTTTGAAGCGGCTCCACTTCACTCTCACATAGGTGACTTATGTTGTTCGGCTCGCCGAAACACATAGTGGTCAGTAAAAGCATTGCTTAACCTTTTCCACATTTTAGTCATTGTTTTCATCATAAGAATGAACTTGGGATAAAGACCCCTACAGTGACCTCACAAGGCCTATGCAAGTAGGTTGTCCCATTGAACCTAGATCTTGGGATCTCTAGTCAACTAGGTTGGGTTTTCCTTCACATAGCGCCTTAAATATTATTGGGCTTTAGTCACATTCCTTTCGATGTTTATCAACTTGATCTATATTCAACTCATTGTTTAGCGGATCTACAATGTTATATTTTGATCTTACAAAATCAATATAGATAAATCTAGTTGAGATCAATTGTTTATGATATTATGTCGATGATGTATGTGTCTTGATTTACCATTATACTTATACAAGGCCCCCTACACTTTGATGTAGTTGTAGGAAAGTTTTCTACATTTCCATAACTCATATGGTGTCTCGCCTATTTTCTTGTAAGTTACCTTATTTAAAGGTAATTTGCTAATAAAATAGCTTCCTCCACATGTTCTCTGACAACTCAGAGCATGGCCAAATGTCATTCATAATATGGTGTATCTAACAATCCATTCAAGATGTAATTCCGAAATAGAAACTTAGAATGGTTTCAAGCTTTAATGACAACAATGTCTATCTCATCCTCTCTATGAATAAGAGATTATCTTATATTTGATCATATTCAGCATGATTAAATATAGCATCTTATGTCGCTATGTCTTGAAATTTTATCCATGAATTTCACACGCTTCTCTTGTGGCTCACAACCACTGATATCGTTAAATTTTATTCAAAGTCTGAATAGGAATCAACCTTTCAAATCACGAGTTAGGTGAATCAGTGAGGTTACCATTGTTTCGTTTAAAACACGTAACCAAAATTTGTAAATATTCCAACAATAAATTGAAATTTAATTCAATTCATTTTACCATTTGTTTCTGTTGAACAACAAAATTTAATTAAAAATTAAAATTATAAAAAAGTGTAACAATGTTGTTACCTCCAAACGATTTTGTATTAAATGCATTTACAAAACTATGAGATTTTGTATTAATATAAAATGTGTATGGTGTTAAATTTATGTGTGGTCTTAATTATACAATAATAGACGCAAGTAAATTAAGGGAAAAATGTATTCGAAGTGAACCTTTCGTAGTTTGATGCGATGATATGTATTTGCATTTAGAATAGGTAAATGACACGAGGTTTTGATAAAAGTGTTAAATGCGTAACTTGATCTAATCATATTAGTTAATTGATAAGCAATTTGGCTCATCTAAGCATAAAAGTTCTTTGTTTAATAATTTCATCTGTTTCTATTGTAGGTTTATGGAATAAGCTTGTTGTACAATTCAAAGATGACATTGAATTTATTTGATCTTTGGCAATCATGAATCGTCGAGTAGAACAATGATTTTAACACATCGAGGTGTCAAACTCACCACTAGATGTGATGTTCGTGAATAGAAGAAATGTATCCCACATTGCTCGTGTAAATGATATATCCGCCGTTTAAATATATAATTAGGGTGTTTGGTTTATGAAATTTAAGATTATCAGTTGGAATAAAATATTATCAGGGAATAGGATTACTGGGAATGTTGTATTTTGTGTTTGGTTGGTTTAGCAGGAATGTAAGATTATCGTGTTTGGTTAAAGGAATAAAAGATTATTGGAATGTATATTTGACCAAATTATCCTTATTATATATTTGTATAATATTACAAATTGTAAAATATTTATATATTTTCTTTAAAAAATTAAATTCATAATATTTATATAATTTTTTTTACAAAATTAAAAATATAAAAAATATTTAATGAAAGGGTAAAAAAAATTTTAACCCATGAACTTCATATAAAATTTTAATTATAGACTTTTTTTTATAAATCTAAAATAATTTAAGGATAAATTTGTAATTTAACCTTCGTAAAATTTTTATTATTTAATGACAGAAGAATGATATTTTAAAAAAAATAAAAATTTAAGTGCATTTTAGTCCAAAACGCCGGTAATATTACAATAACTAAGGGAATGAATGTAATGACATTCTTGATAATATACCTTAAAAAATTTACTATTGATAATAAAATATTACCAAAAATAAAATTTAAACGAACCAAACATGAAAATATGAGATTCTCATCCCTCAAGGGATATGAAGTCCGCCAGGTGGAGTAACGTCTGCTTATAACTCAAGTGGGGGGTTTTGATGTGATTGAACACTTGATTGATTCACTGAGTCGGGCTTATGGTATCTTGCTTCTAGCCTGTCCGTTCCAAGATAAGAGTGACTCATTGAAATTTGTGTGAAGGCATAGTTCTCTTGAGTCCTAGAGCAGAAGGCACAGCGTCAGGCTGATTTCACAGAGCAGCGATAACTTCCTTTTCTTGGCTGTGGAAGGATAACAGGCTGAAGCAGTCTAGGTCCAAAATGGCTCCGTGGGCCGTTCTTAGTTGAACCACCACATTTTTGGTTCCTCATTATTTAAATTATAAATTTATGTTTATATTTTCATAATTTAAAATACTTTCTAAAAGTACATTGACCAATCTAATAAGAAAATCATAGCTTAGTTAATTCAGTTTTTTGTCTATTAGAGCCTCAGCCCTCATGGACTGAAAATCAAGCAGCCCAAAGCCCCATTATATTAAAAGCTTTTTCGTTTTTCTCATTGTTTAAAAAAGGTTTTTTTTTTCTCCTTTTTTGATTGATTAGAAAAAACTAATTTGGAAATAAGAGTGAAATCCGGGAAATGAACAACCGGATTTCTTAGCGGCAATTTGATTCCTTCTGCTTCATCCGATGTGATAGAGGCAGATTTGATATATGTAAATGCAGTGAAAGCCCAAGCAGTCGTTGTTTGCGACAACGGCACCGGCGTAATTCATTTTTCTCTTCTCTTCAAATATAGTTTCAATCATACTTACTCTCTCTGCATGAAATTGCTTTCTAATAAATTACTCAAATCACTTGATTACCTACTTTAAGATAAAATCTAGTCATTAGACAGCTTGATTTCCAAGCTTCCTCTTTCTTTTTTTAAGTTTCATTTTCTTTCAGTTTACTTGACTATATCTGTTTAATGTTCGGTTGCAGTACGTAAAATGTGGTTTCGCCGGAGAAAATTTTCCAACATCGGTGTTTCCGTGCGTGTTAGGGAGACCTATGTTACGGTACGAGGAATCTCTCATGTAACAAGAGTTGAAGGTCTGAAATTGTTTCTTATAATTTTGCTTTTTCTTTTCCTTATTTCAAAATTTTGGAATTCAAAGATCGTGTCAATTTTTTTTAGATTTGGCAGCTGTAAGTTTTTTGGAGTATAGCTTAGATTTACTGATTTTTTTCTTCATTTTCATATTTTGAACTTTGGTTAGGATATTGTTGTTGGAGAAGCATGTGCTGATTTGAGACATCAATTGGATATATCATATCCGGTTACTAATGGAATTGTGCAGAATTGGGATGATATGTACCATGTTTGGGATCACGCCTTCTACAATGAATTAAAGGTCTTCTTGCCTTTTTTTTTTTTTGGTTTGGGCCTCATTCATGCTATTTATTTATTGTATTGGTCTTGATTATGTTTTATGTTGTTTGTAAGCAGATTAATCCTACTGAATGCAAGATATAATCTCAATGTACATATATTATACAACAAATATTGAATGGTCACACAAACTTTTTTAATTTTTTGATCAATATTATAAATTCATTGCCAACCAATCTCGAACTATCAACATGTGGGCTCAAGGTGCACCTCCATAAAGGACAAAGGTGTGCTCCGATGCGGTTCAAGTTGTGCAACATAGGGTGCAACCACAAAATATAAAATTTGGTGGACAACACATCATGGAGTTCCACGCCACCAAGTTTCGAACAATCATTTGATAGAACAATTTCTCTATCTTTGATCGAAATTCTCCAAGTCACCATTAGTTAAAAAAAAATTCATGCGGAGACCGAATATTATATGGCACTTGCATCACTGTGTTCAAAATTAATGCTCTTGAAAAACAAATATGATTTTCATGCAAGTAGGTGTTAGAGTATGCCCAAAGACCAATCATATGATGATTGTAATAATACTTTTATTTACCGATTTTATTGAATAAAGGCATTGCCGCTATTATTTTCATATATATATATATATATATATGTGTGTGTGTGTGTGTGTGTGTGTGTGTGTGTTTAACATAAACTGGAAGATAATAAAGTCCATATGATGACATAATTGTTATTATTAAAAGATCCCTAGTCAAGTATTATTATGGGCATGGACAATAATAATACGCTTAAGACTAACATATTATTGATTGATGACAACGAGTTGTCATTGACATAGAGATGTCAGAATTGATACATGATTATATTGTTAGAGAACAATGTATTCGATTGACCGACCATGAGCATATGTCTTGGATTATTATGTGACAGTCATAACATTGCTCATGATGATGACTATATGTATGATCCTCAGACTTGAGATCAATACTATCCAACATATATTGTTGTATGTTTTGATGCAGCTAAACAAGCTCTGTAATTGGTTTCTCTATAAAGACTGTTATTGAATATATCTCAATATATGTAGTAGGTGCGTATGATTAAGATAGGATTTGTCCTTCCTACATAATAGGAAATATATCACAGGCCACTTGATTGAGTAAGACTAGAAACGCATGGCCATGCTCAAATAAGTTGACATGAGATATCATTAACTATTCGTTAATTACAGTCTACTCTAGATATCAAGAAACAATAGATGGGCTATACAAGTGTGACTATTCCAAGACTTGTGCATATCCTAGATATAAAGGAAATAAGGATGTAATACATAAAATAGTTAATCACCAAGATGATATGTTGAATCATATTTTCTTGTAACTTAGGTGACAATGATATATTGCTAGATGTCACTCATTGTATGTAATATTAGAATTGTTCTAATAATTACTGCTAACGTTACAAGAACCTACAAGGTCACACCCTAGGATTGAAACGAGCAAAGATGTACAATGATATATATCTAGAGTTAATTAAATATATGTTTTAATAATCCCAAATATTTAATTTCAATTAATTAAATATAGATTTAATTAATTTGAAATAATAAAATCCCTAATATGATTAGGGTAACTTGGATATAAAATAATTATTAAATTCCAATTAATTAAATATAGATTTCATTAATTTGAAATAATAAAACCCTAATATGATTAGGGTAACTTGGCTATAAAAGGGTGTGTTAGGTCTAGTAGCCGTTTTAGAACACACACACAAAACCTTCAACCGTTTTTCTCTCAAAAATGTTTTGGGGAAGAAAAATATTGCTCTCAATCGGGTGAACTGAGTAGAGGCTGAGACGTGATTTCGTGGAGGCTTACGAATCGAACCGATCTACACCACCAGTATTCATTGTTGTCCTTGTTGTTTTTCAAGGAACCCGCTGTAAGTATTCGCATCCTTTCCTCCCGATTTCAGTTTTTCGTACTTGGATCACTGGTGAGACCGTCGAGTTTTGTTTCCGCTGCGCCGACGGTCCCAACAGTAGGGTTGCATACCTTGCTCCACTTGAGAATCTCAATTATATGTCGATATCAAATTGCCACAAAAAAGTAATGAGCGACACATATAGATTACACTTCGTCTCGGATTATAATTGTAAAATTAAATATAAAATATGTCTTAAGATTGTTAGAAAAAATGTTAATCCGAGATAAAATAATAATAATAAATATTATTATATAATCAAATTAAGCAAAATAAATAAAGAATTAAAAAAGAGGAGTGTGATTTGTTTATTCGTGTATAAACACTAAATATGATGGGTAGAATAATATAAATTGAAGAAGGATTTTTGTTGAGACATATATGAACAGTTTCCTTAAAACAGGTTTGTCCTCTCCTAGGTGCTTTGCGTAACGTTGGACTTCGGTCTCCTATAATACAACAACAAACGATCACAATAGTAAGCACAATCGTAGTGATTAATCGAACACAATCTTGTCTTTCTCTATTACCGGAAAGAACGAATTTAAAAGGAATTTCCTAAGTATTTTCTAATTCATCACTGTGAATTATGTCTTAGAATTGTGCCTCAAGTAACCTATATAAGGAAAGGAAATGGATTGAAGGGTTAAGTCCTTTCTATGAAAGGACTTATCATTTTGATGAAAGTGCTTAACCTTTTCGTGAAATGGTTTAATCTTTTCGTGAAGAAAATTATTGAATAAAAATGATTGAATGTATGCAACTTTATACTAAAAAATAAGTTCATTCAAAAGGGACATGACTTATTATAATAAGTCTATTCATCAAGTGACATGACTTATTATAAATAACATCAATTTTATTCAATTAAACTATTATTTTCCAACATTTAAATCTTGATTGAATATATATATAATATAAAAAACATTATTTTTTTGAGAAAATCATTCAAAAAAAATGAAATAGTAAAGAATTAGTATATAAATTATATTTGATATGAGAGTACAAGTTCTTTTAAATTATGAACAAATAAAAGTGTAATAATATCCCTATCAATATTTAAATAATGAATTTTCAACGTTTTACTAATTCAACTGGTAACTAACTCGGTCAATTTTTTGATAATATAGAGAAGGATAATAAAAATTTAAGTATAACAATATTTGCAATGATAAAAATAAATTTCAAACTTGATCCGATAACAAGATAAATAGGACTTGGATGAATGATTTTTTTTGGGATAAAAATCTTGATATAAATACTAAATTAACATATTCAAAATAATTTGACTAGTTAAAGGATTCTTCAACCATTTGGACCGCACCAATGAAAGGCAAAAGATCCATTCCTTTGAGATTTATTTATTTATTAGGGAGAGAGTGTTTCTTTATTTTTCTCACTTTGAATCACATTCACATTCGATTGGTATATATTCTAGTAACTGTAAACACAACTTATTTTTTATTTTTTTAAGAAATTCATTCATTAAGATTAAAAACATAACATTTATTATTATTATCACAATATATTATTACATAATATACATTAATATTTATATGACATTTAATAATTTTTTAACATTTTGTTTTGGATAAAGAGAAGCCTAAGCCATAGGATCTATTTAATAAAAAATATAATTATTATGTATTGGTAATTTGAGATGAAATTGAAATGTTCAAAATATTAAGACTGATTCAAAATAAAAGTTATAGTTTAAGGATGAAGTTAGAATGTTCAAAAGTTTAAATTCACTTAAAATGAGAGTTATAGTACGAGGATGACACTGAAATGATAAAAGTTTAAAGACTGATTTAGAAGGAATGTCATAGTTTAGGGATTAGTGGAGCAATTTTATTGTTAATGGAAAACAAAATTGTAATGAGGAAAATGGATTTATGTAGGAGGCTGTATGTGTATTTTTGATGAAATTCTCCCGCGAGAGCGGTATTTGCGTAAAGTTGAAAGTGAATGAAAGGACCGGTGGAAGCCGTGCCCGCGTGATGCGTGGTATGGTGCTGATATGGCCTACCAAAATAGCCAGTAATTCATTCTTTCTTCTTCTTCGGAATGGCGTTTCCCGCGTCATGTTTTTTTATAGGAAAGCCAAACCCTAATCATCTCTCTTCTTTTCTTTTTTGGCTGATTTCGCTGTGAGCATATTAAGGTAGAATATCTTACTTGTTCTTCATTCATTCTCCTACATTGCCTTATTCCTTAACCTTTTGACGTTTGATTCTGGTTTTGTTGGCGCCAAGAGATGGGGGAGTCGGCGAAGGTGTTGTATATAGTTGTGGTGGACGAAGATGAGGAGGGAGAGGAGACGTCGTTTCGCTACACGCGTCCCGTTCTTCAGAACACTCTTCAACTCATGGGCTGCAAAGCTCGTCATGCCTTTAAGGTTTTCCTTTTTATTATCGTTCAAAATAATAATCCTAGTGTGATGTCAGAAATATTTTTGACGTTGATTACTTATATATTAACCATACAAAGGAGTGGATACAAATAAATTTTTACAGATAAAATAGGTCATTAATTGAAGTAAATTCGGATTTTAGAACGTCATTGTCTGGTGTTTTATTTTATTTAGATATTAACTTCCTGTCGTGCTTCTAGCAATTTGGTTGATTTAGCTTAATTTTGAATCTGTGATTTAATCTCGATTTCTGTTTGGTAAATGTTTCTTTTTTTTCTTTACTTTTTTATTTATTTTCTGTTTGATCGACACATTGCAGTTCTGAAATTAGTAAACTAAGAATGTGGATGATGAGATGATATATCTGGATTGCTTCTAACGTGCTTTCTAAAATTCTCTCTCAATTCAACATCATTTTAGTCTTTACCTCTGAGTGAAAAAGAATACTAGTTTTATCAATTTGATGGTAACATTTTCTTTCTTTTTTAAAACTTTATTCTGTCGTCATAGAACTTTCATTCTCTCTCAGTATACCCTGTAGAACAAGATGTTTGATGCTTAGTTTTTTAGGTTCATTTTCTTAATACCGAAGCTTTCTGAGCATTGGAAATCATAGAAATCAATCAAGATAAAATCAGTTTCGTTCTATTTCCATTTTGTTGGTATATTTGCATTGTCGATTTTGTTCTACCATGTGGTCCCATCCCGTCACCATTTGGTGATTTTGTTGCCTAATAATGCACACTTTATCTGTTCAAGTTTCAATTTGTAAAGCTTTCTCGTCTTATAGGCAGATAGAGGTATTCATTATCGTGTTTAGGGAGAGGTTCATAGTTAAATTAAGTGCTTGGTTTAAACATGCATACTAAATTTGGGACTTCGTTTCTTTCCTCAATCAGATGCCTACTAAGAATTCTTGTGTACCGTCCATAGTCATGGTTATTGTATGCCATTATTTTTTTCATTTCACACCATTGGTTTTCTCTCATGTTTCTTTAATTGTTATGGCAATTGGATCCTTTTTCTCAATATCCTCTTCATATCTCTTACCAGATTAGCCAGAGGGCTTTTGAATTGATTACAAGTGAACCTTCTTATAACTCTCTACATCAAGAGGGAAGTGAGACATTATATCCTGACAGTTTGAAAGGAAACTCTGAGAAGGAAGGCGCCCAACCTGCTAATGGTGACTTTTGTAGAGCTGAGGCAGGCAATTGTTTAGTTTCTGAGAAAGATGATAGAGATAAGAGTATACCGTTTGAGTTGTACAAAAGACGTACATCAGTTGTTGTTAAAAGGAAAATTTTCTTAGATGTTGTTTGTGTTGCTCTGGATGAATATAAGTATGTGGGTCCAAATGAGAGAGATGACTTGATTTTGGCATGCAGGTATTGTGCGACATCTTATACCTGCCATAAAAGGTTGCAATAATACATGGCATATAATTAATTGCTTGCATCGAGAATGTGCACGTTTCATTGTTCTGCTTACTGCTTCTCCCCCTAACACCCCGGTGGCTTTTTGGACTAGAAGATGGTTATTATCAGTTTATCACTACTCACTAGTATACCATAAGTTTTTATGTAACATTTATAGAATTTCATGCAGGGATGGAACTAGGATAGGATGCTAGGGTGGGCCAAATAGCTTAGGGACCTAAAAACAAAAATATTTTGGGGGACAAGGCTTAATTTGAATAACATTTGAACTACAAGCAACCTAAATTCCAATTAAACCATTTGTTTGGGTGGGGGCAAGGCCCTTGCCACCATATATTTGGTTCTGTCCCTGATTTCATGCCTACTGCTACTACTACTAGCAGTAAATGAGCATATATGATTTGTTATGGGATCATGGTAGTGGGTTTTATAGTGGTCTTGCAATCTTGTTCAATATCCTCTACTTGGGAGTCTTCAAATCAGATAAAAGCACCATCTTGTTTCCCCTAGTGAATTGTATTTGGTCTTCACTGCAGAATCCGGGAGAGGAAGGAATCTATGACTGTGCTGTTGTGTGGCACTAGCGGTTGTGGCAAATCTACTTTGTCTTCTTTGCTGGTATCTTTGCTTTGCATAGTAATGTTGTGAGCACTAGTGGTGGTAACTGCATAATAGCTAATCCTAATGCTTTTTATGATGTCAGGCTAGCAGGTTGGGAGTTACTGCTGTGATTTCAACTGACTCTATTCGTCACATGATGAGGAGTTTTGTAAATGAGAAGGAAAATCCTTTACTCTGGGCTTCAACCTACCATGCTGGGGAGTGTTTGGATCCTGTGGCAGTTGCCAAAGCGAGGGCGAAAAAGAGGGCGAAAAAATTGGCAGGTTCTACTCAATCACTTTCCAAAGGTGAGCGAGCTGATGGTTCTTCAGCTAGAAAGTCTGATCCGCAACCAATGGAGAGTGGTTCTACTAGTGCTGAATTGATTAGTCCCAAACAGATAGCAATTGAAGGATTTAAGGCGCAAAGTGAGATGGTCATTGACAGTCTAGATAGATTGATTACTGCATGGGAAGAGAAGAAAGAGTCTGTAATTATCGAGGGCGTTCACTTAAGCCTTAGTTTTGTTGTAAGTAGACTTTTGATTTCTTCCAGCTATCAGATGTGTTCATTTCCCAAAACTGACATATTTTGTTCTTACCCTGATCTCTCTCTCTCTCTCTCTCTCTCTCTCTCTCTCTCACATGTGCAGATGGGGCTTATGAAGAAACACCCCTCAATTATACCATTCATGATATACATTTCAAATGAAGACAAACACTTGGAAAGATTTGCAGTTCGTGCAAAGTACATGACTTTAGACCCTGCAAAAAATAAGTATGTGAAGTATATAAAGAATATCAGGGCGATACAAGATTATCTATGCAAACGAGCTGACAAGCATCTGGTTCCCAAAATAAACAACACAAATGTTGACAGAAGTGTGGCAGCCATACATGCAATAGTTTTCGGTTGCTTCCGCAGGCGTGAAGCTGGGGAACCACTTTATGATCCTTTAACACATACAGTTTCTGTTGTTTATGATGAATACCGGAAGTGTGCTGCAAATTCAATGAGCTCCAAGGGAATGTTTCAGTTGATCCAGAGGAATGGTTCTTCTAGGCAATTGATGGCTCTTCTTAACACTGATGGATCTGTGGCAAAAGCTTGGCCAGTTCGATCAGTTGATAGTAAAGGAAGGCCCACATCTGGCCGTAGGTGTGAGGGTGGATTAGGCGTTCCGTTGTATGGACCTTTAAAATTTGGCAAGGCTGAACCCGTTAATCTTCAATTTGGCAACTTTGGAATCAGTGCTTGGCCCAGTGAAGGAGGCACTAGTCATGCTGGAAATGTAGAGGAGCCGAGATGTGATGCGACTGTTACTGGCAGTAGACACCATTCTTCTTGCGGAAGTTCGCCAACGACGTCTGATGGTCCTTCAAAGGAGGTAGCATCTTATGATATTTTCTTTCTTTTTTTAAATTTTTAAGCACTTGGTGTCACTGCTTTTGATTAATTTTTGGTTGTATATAAGAAACTAGATTAAAAAAAAAAAGCAATGGGATTAGTGGTTCTCTTTCTATCTCACAGTTAAAGGAGGAACATTCAGTGCATGGGAGTGATGAAGAAGTTGACGATCCACATGATGTAGACAGTGATGAAGATTTTACAGATGATGGTGACAAACAGTATCATGAAGAGGTATGGACGTGTTTGATCCAATAAGAGGTAGGTAGTGATAAATTTGCAATTGGCATCTCGACATTAGGCCCAAATGAGAAGAGTTATCAGTTTCTTAGTATGGGTGTAATGTGGATGATGTTTGTGACATGGGTTGTGTTAGCTTGGTTAAGTGATACTTGTTGGATGATTGAATTGGGATTCACATATTTTTTTCACGCTAATTGGAGTTTAGAAGTCCAGATGAAAAAAAGTTAATAAAATAATTTTCTTGTTTTGTGATTTATAGGTAGGGTCTGTGGATGAGGGATCAACAAAGTCAGATGAAGAGTATGATGATTTGGCAATGCAGGATGTGGTGGAGAATGGAGGGCGGTCGGAGGATAGGGAGAAAAATGAGAAGGGATGTGTTAAAATGAGGAAACGCTCCCTCAGCACTCCAGACTTGAAGAAGCATGGATCACTAAATAGTGATCCCATACTTTCCGGTGCACACGAGCGGTAGCACTATCATTCATTACAGATGATGCTTGGTTGGCAATGCTGCCTGCTTTTTCTAATCTTGTGTGTTTTATATACATATTTAAAAAAAAATGCAACGAGCAAAGGTCTGGGCTCGTCTTTACTTGGTGGTGTCTGAGTGAGCGGATTAGGATGGATTCAATTCGACAATGAGCTGTGTAAGTTTCAACCTCATAATGGGTTGGTCCAAGGCGTTTGCCGCCGAACTAGTCTTGGCTCTGGGTGTCCAAAAGTTTTCAATATTTAGAAAATAGAGATAAGAATAATAATATACGGGTGATTATAAAAATAATGTGATTTTAATGGAAGATTTTTCTTGTTTTATTGGTATTCTTATTCTTCAACCATTATTGTAATCATACATTTGGTCATAAATTTGATTAAAAAACGATTCTGACATCATATTTATTTTTATTAGTATTACATACATTTTATAAAAGAAAATGAATGTATGAATGTAGTAATTGAGGATTCGAAATTTAAAATCAAAATCAACTTTAGCTGGGGATGAGTGGCCACATCATACAAGTATATATAATGTACGAATTGAATATTACAGTTTAAAGAAAAGAAGATGGGGAAAAGGGAAAGTCTAGAGATATATATGGTTGAGTTTTATACAATTGTTAAATAAATGAAAATATGATTTAGATTAACAATATGATATGAGAAAATATTCATTGAAATAAAAAATAAGGAGCTAATTTCATCCATATATTTTCTCATCCAATACTCTTAAATTCATAATTAAAATGATAAGTATAAATCAATCATAATTAAACGTGTGTACTTAAAAAATCTTAAGTACCTAACTGCACCAAAAGAAATTTTTAGATATCTAATTACACCGATAAAAAAGTTAGATACTAATTGCTCCAAATCCAATAAGATCTAGGTACCACTGCACCATTAAAAGAAAATTTAGGTACCCAATTTTATAAAAAAAATATGTACCATATTGCACATAAATACTAAATTTATTACCGAAAGTTATATTTACCTAGTGAATATAAAATAATATTTAAAAAAGACGAGCGGGAGAAACATCCCACCGTGTCTACCAAACCAAAATTGGACATCTTTATATAAGATATGATTAAATGAATAAACGGTTTGAAAACTTTTCCTGTTTAGTCAAATCCATCCCGCGTAATCATTTTACCGGTATCCCATGGTGACCTCGCTGTTGTCGGCGATGAACGGCGAGAGAGCCGTGGTTTTCTTCTTCGTCTTCCGTCTTTTCTATTCCCTCCCCCTTTCCCTCCTCCCCCACGCCTTTTCCCTCTCTCTTCTCTCCGTTTTCTCTCTAATCGTTGAGATCCGCGCCGACTGTTCTATCTCCCTCTTCAAAACCAGGTATGTTATTCTCTCTCTCCCCCCTTTTTTCTTTCAACGGGAGAATTAGGATTTTAGAGAACCTCAATTCGCTAAATTCTTTTAATTTTGATATGAAAGTTTGAATTTTTGTTTGTTTTTCTTTGCAGGCCGGGTGCTTCATCAGGAATTATGTTAGGTGCAATTACGTTGCCTACTGTAATGCTCTCCAAGTTGATTCAGCTCTCAAGAGCTTTCTCTTTGCAACAAATTGAGATTGGAGGTTAATCATTTTCGCCTTGTAAAATGTTATCTTTGTTGGATTTAACAAATCAAATTGTTGATTCACAAATAAATTATACTATGAATTGTAGGGAATGTATTTAAGTTATAGATTTTTTTAATGGTTGTTTCTTTTCAAATTTTGTGTTTAGAGCATGAACATATGGCAATGCAATTTTGGGCTGCTTCGGCTTGTTGCTACGGTGTGCTTGTATTTCTCTCAGTAGTTATGTGGTGCGCTGCCTACAATAAGAATCCTCATTTCTCCTGTAGTGTTTGGGATGCAAAGTTTAGCTTAAGCTGTGTTATTTTATATTCTGTGGTTTGTTGTATATCACTTGCTACAATATCTCAAACCGGTGAGTTACTTGTTTCATTAATATAGCGTTGCTGTTTTTCAGTTTTTTTGTTATAGCATTGCTGTTTTTCAGTTTCATGCTTTGTGTAAGCTGTGAAGATGAAAAAATTGGTAAATTTTACCTGTATCGAGTAATCAATGGTTTTACTTCTCTGCATACAGGTTTTAACACAACATTGAAGTTACTGTGGTTGCTATGTCATGGATTTGCAGCAGTGAAATTAATTCTGCATCTTCTAAATACATTCCCTTATTGTGCTTCAATTGGTTTGTCTCAAGCTACAATTTCTGTCAATGTTTATTACCCAAGCCAAGCGTCTCTTATGGAGAGCACTGAAAGGATTATTTTCATCCCATCTTGTTGCAGGGGAAGCACTTTTGTTGACTTCAGGTCTTGTGCTCTATTTCGGTGACATGTTGGCGTGTACCATTTCAAAGGTTACGGTTGTTTTACCACACTGGACTCAGGCGCTTATTGCCGAAAAGCCCAGCAGATTGACCTTTTGACATGAATTACATTGTTTGAACAGGTTTGTAGATTGTTGATTTCACCAGAGTTGGTATCCATACGATATGGAATTAAAAGAAGTGAGATAGGTATTATTATCCAGGTATGAATCTTTAAGTGATGATATTCTTTGGAAATGCTCTAGCTGGGTTGTGAAAGTTGCTCTATTCTGTGCAGGGTGTGCTTCTTGGGCTTCTTATTTTTTCAGTAGTTTTTAAATTTGTTGTCCACTTATGGGAATACTTCTGGGGTGCTGACAACTCTGAATCGAGAAAAAACAAAGAAATCAGGAGATCTCTTATATTCTTTACATCACTTGGATTTATCATGATTGTGGTTGCCCCATCATGGATGATGACTGTCCTAGATTTTGATGTTCATCCTATACTATGGTATATCTTTGCTGAAAGATCTTTTTTCTCTTCAATTGGACTGTATTATTGTGTTGTTTATTAACATTTTGTTCATTGATTTTATCTATCCTCCTTACATCTAGTTTCTGTAATCTAATCCAATCTAATGTTGAGGTAATTTGGTGTTTACAAAGAGGTTTTTGTGACTTTAAATTGTACAGTTTGATGATGGATATGGATATGGAATTATGGATATTATCGGTTAAACGGGTGGTTTCTTGTCTCTGGTATTTGATTTAGCCAGAGTTGCAAGTTACTTGTGCTACAGTCTATGTTTGCTTCTATGGATTAAGGTTGTGCAGCAGAGAGAAAACTGATTTATGCTGTCACGTGACTTTAAAGGAATTATTGTTAACAGATAATGACAGTTTTCTTTCTAGGTTACCGTTATTTTTGTTTGTCATGTTATCTTCAATTTTCCCTCCAATTTTTGCATGTGTCTTATTGTTAAATCATTCATTTTTACAGGATATTCCAGTTTGTTTTCTCGGAACCATTCAAAAGACTGTCACTATGTATCTACTGGTCGGGTTTGATATACATATCTGTATTGAGGTTCTACAACATTTCTAAGAATAGCAAGATTGAGAGAATTCTTCTTCGGAAATACTACCATCTGCTGGCTGTTTCAATGTTTCTGCCTGCTCTTATTTACCAGGTGATATGAGTATACAGTTGAGTATCATGTTTAAGTTATTTAGCAATATTATTTTGCTCTTTCATTCTAGTAACGGTTTGATTAGATGTTATATTGACTTTGTAATTTCTTTTTCCAGCCAAAATTTCTTGATCTAGCATTTGGTGCAGCTTTGGCAGTCTTTTTGGTATTAGAAATTATTCGAGTAAGTTCTTCTAACTTGGAAATATTATGTAGATGTTGAACATTATATCATGTGAAGTTGCTGTACCTATCTAGATGATCACTAGTTAAAGCTTTCAAAGGATGACATGTTTGCAAGTGTCATCATATCTGTGTGTGATTTTAAGCAAGGTTTATGCTTTCTCACATGCTGGGAAACTGATGATTCATTTTAAAATTTCTTTGTTGATTTTTGCATAACTTTTCTGTTGTAGCAGGTTTGGAGAATTTGGCCTTTAGGGCAACTTGTACATCAATTTATGAGTGCCTTTACAGACCATCGTGACTCTGATCTTCTTATTGTAAGGTATGGATTGTTACCATTACTGGATCTATAATGCCTATACTTGTTGCAAGAAATTTGATTTAAGGTCCCTTTTTTCTTATGTAGCCACTTTTCACTCTTATTGGGATGTGCACTCCCTATATGGATGTCCTCTGGGTTCAATGATAGGCCTCTTACCCCTTTTGCTGGAATTTTAAGCCTTGGCATTGGAGATACAATGGTAATGCGCTTACTGTTTCCATTTAGCCTTCAATTTCTTGCCATGTCAAAATTTTCACTTTAACACTTACCTGGGAATTTCCCGGATGTTTTGAAAATGACAAAATCTGACGTATATCACTAGTATGTATATTCTTCTCAAAAGTTCATGCTGCATTCTTCTTTCTTTAATAATGAAACAAGTTCGATCACATTCACAATTATCATTGCTTGTTGATATCGTGCCTCATGTTACAATGCTTATGATGTTGTCACTTGTTGCACTTTTGGTTTTTCTTTCATGCCAAATTTGCTCTTGAACTAAACTAAAATTAATGCAATTTTCTACTTGAATTTGCTTAATATCAAATGAACAGTTTTAACATCCCCTGTGAATATGGCTAAAGTTCTTGAACCTAAACAAATATTCTATTCCAAGCTTTTCCAGAAAGAGAGAGAAGTGAAAACCTTGGCCATCTTTATGTAGGATTAAAAGAGCCATAATAACTCCACCACCAACATTAGTGCCATACTTAGTAACCCTAGGGAGTCCAACTTATCATGTCTATATTTAGGGATGGAATGAGGGGGGAGTGGGTGGGGGCAGTCACCCCCTTAAAAATTTAAAATTCCTATATTTTTTAGATATTTTCTCCATATTTTCGATTGAAATTTTGTTTTCACCTCCCCCTAAAAGTTTACAAGTTCACCCTCTCTTTGAACTTTATAAATTTGTCCCTCTTAACATAAAATCATGTGTCTATCCCTGACTATATTACAAAGTAATTTACCAAATTTTGAGCAATAATTGAAAACCTTGTGGACAATGGGCTAGTAATAAAGGTTATTTACTAAAAGGTCTACACATTAATAAAATTGGCTGGCTGTCTGTTATTCTGTCCAGGTTGATCATAAAGTTCTAATTATTTTGTTTTTATGTTTAGGCATCAATGGTCGGTCACAAATATGGTGTCCTTAGGTGGAGCAAAACTGGCAGTAAGATTCTTCGTTCTCTCCCGCTCTCTCTCTATCTCCCCCCCCAACACACACACCTTTTATTTATTTTTAATGCTTGGGAGGCTTTACCTGCTAACTCTAGCAACTTTCTTAAAATTCAGAAAAAACTATTGAAGGCACTGCAGCTGGTATAGTATCTGTCCTTGCTGCTTGCTCTGTTCTGCTTCCACTTTTGGCATCCACTGGATACATTCTAACTCAGGTCCTCTCTCTCTCTCTCTCTCACACACACATGAAGATCTTGACTGACACTCATCATAAGAACATTTGTGGCAACTTAGTCAGGAATGAATTTCACTGAAAAATCCAATCTGGCTAAGTCGTTAAATGTTGTATTAAAAGAAAGTCATGGGAAAGTTTTTTGAATTGACATCATAGATGATACCTGATTTACTGTTTGGGTTATGAATATACCACATATATAGTGATGTCTTAAATTCCAATTTCCACAGCACTGGTTTCCTCTTCTCATTGCCGTGACCACAAGTGGTTTGTTGGAGGCTTACACAGCACAGCTTGATAATGCTTTTATACCTCTCATCTTCTACAGCCTTCTCTGTTTGTAAATGCATACTTCAACCTTCCCAAAATGGATATAGTTTCTAAACAAATCCTTCACACATTCTTCCAGAGCTTGTAATGTGCCATAACATTTATTTGGTTGTAGAATGAGCTTAGTTTTACATTTTAGTAGGGTGTTTTTAGCCATCGTAAAGAGGAGAAGCAAGTGGTTAGTTGAGAGTTGGGGGTTGTTTTTCAGTTTAGTTTAACCTAGGGAGCAACTCTGAAGCATGATAGTTCAATCTCAAACCTAATGTATTTCCTATCGCAAAATACGAGTTTTGAACAATGAAAAACTGATCACTACCAATTTGTCGATGTTAATAATGTGTGTTATGTGAAATCAAATGGTGCAGTGAGAAACGACTTGTGTTATAATTAAATTTTATTCGACACATGGTTGCTTTTATTTATAATTTATAAATGTCTGTTATGTCCTATAGGATTTTTGGGTTTGAGAATGTATGGATTTTCAAAATGTGAAGGTGGGGGCCCTTGGGCCTTGGCTATTGCCACGGACCCCCCGAATTCTTACTCTCTCTGTCCTTCAAGTAGACAAAATGTTTTTCCAATTAATCCAATGCGTTGACATGATAAACCCTAACTAAAATTATAGAGTTGCTTCTCACGTGACAAGTAATTTGGAGAATATCTTTAATCCAAGTGATAACAACTCTCATTTTATTTTACTTTTTTATAAGATTTGTTAATTGGGTTTGGACAAATTTTAAGTTTGTGATACGAATTTCACATTTAAAATCCAGAAGTCTATTTATTTATTTGAAGGATGCTTAAGTTTGATTGAGGTTTGTGTAATTAAGTTTAATAACAAATTCAAAATCTAAAATTAAAATTTAGGCTTAATACAAGAAAAAGTGTTCAAACAATATCTTTTTTCCATTTAGGTTTTTAATTTCTTTTTAGTCAATTCAAGTGTCTAATATTACTAGCGTTATCATTTTAAGTGTCTTTATCATAACAATGTTAAACACTCTATTAAGTGACATGTGTCACATTTTGGTAATTTTAAAAATTTTATTTTAAAGAAACTTAAAAATATTGTTATATTAAAAAACTCAAAAAAAATTAAAATTACAAAAAAAACCCCACTCAAATCAACCTTAAAATCTCTAATTTAATCTTACCATCTCTTTTGTCGGCCATGGTTATCGCCGCCGATGCCATCATTGTCGTCACTTTTTTTGTCGTCGTCACCATTATCGTTTCTCGTGCTGTCAGGTTTTGTGGGGTTATACAAGTGTCGTGATTTTTCCTTGTTTGTTAGGTTTAAATCATAATTGGGGTTCGATGAATGGTTGGTTGTCAAGTGGAGGCGTTGTCGGGTGTAGTTTCGGTCGACGACAACAGTGGCGATTGACATGAGTATAGGATTGGAGTAAGGGTTTTCAAAGGTTTTGATTTTTTTAAGATTTGAGAAAATTTTGAGTTTTTTTTAAATAATATGTTTTTATTTTTTTAAAAATTTCAAAATTACTAAAACTGAGATGTGTTATTTATCAGAATTTTCTAACGGTCATTACGGTCAAAATTACAGGCACTTAAAATTATAATATTTATAATGTTAGACCTCAGGATTGATTGAAAAAAGTTTATACACCTACATGTAAAAATTGGTATAGTTTAGACACCTAAATAGATAAAATGTACAGTTTAGCCAAAAAAAAATATATTAGGCCTAAAATTTATAATTAACTTTTTATATAAATAATATTCTACAAAGTAACAATTGGGTTTAACAATATAATTATATAGTTTTATATTATATAGTTTCGAATCTATATGATATTTTGTTCACGATAAATAATAGATTAAAGGATGGAAAGATTTCATATATAGATAAACTAGGCGTGGATAATTAAATAAATATTAATCACGTTCGAAGGATTGGGAAGATCCAACGAAATGATTTTTTTTTGGGGGGGTGGTGGTAAAGAAAGGTTTAAAGGAAGTGTGAAGAAGATAAAATAAAAACGAGAGGCGTTTAGCAAAGGATGATTTTAATTTTCCGTATGGCCTCTACTCTCCAGCGGTTCTACTTTTGTTTTTGTAGTTTGAGAATGAAGATTAAAGCTATATATTAATATTTGAAAGGCCCAAGTGTTTTTATAAATAGTTTTCAGTCAATTGTCTTCTTTCTGGCTCTCAACTTATAAAGGTGGGAAGAAGCGGCTTTAATTTGTGGTTTAGCATCTTAAATTCCAAGGAAGACGGACCTCTTGCTTTTGTTTTTAATAATAGTAGGGGTAGCACATCCAAGAGCGTTTAGATATTTATACCGAGTGGGGCCAAGTTCATATCTTCCAAAAATAGGTGAGATTGCCTCCGGTCATTTTTTTTTATAGAAAAAAAAACATGGTTTTCAGAATAGGATCGGTTAATGAACTGGTCATGTTATCAGTTTACTGATTCAACCGGTCGAATCGGTTCGACGGTCGGAAGAACCGGACGACATCATAATTATTTAAAAAATTAAATAAAAATACCAAAAATATTTAATAAAAATAATTTTTTATATCACAAGTCAAATTCAAAGCAAGTAATAACATATATAAGTTAAAAACCATAAAATCAAGTGAAACAAAATGATTCAAATTAAGTACAACATAATATTTAAGGTAAAACATATTAAATAATAAATATAATTATATAACTATAATTAAAAAATAAATTTGGGGCTAAAAAATCATAACAAAATGATATTGTTTGGTTTAATTTTTTTTAAAAAAACAATCTCACATGCTAAGAAATATAGAATAGCACCATAAAAGTCTAAAGAGTAAAAATATGAGAACAAAACAATCTCACATGGCTAAGAAACATAGAAGATCATCCCAACTAACTTCTATAAATAATAGAGTAAATTTGACATTCAAAATCATGGAGCCTTTTGGTGAGCATTGAGTGAACTATTCTTTCACTTCAATCAAGCTCGAATTTTAGGCTTCAATCGAGCTTCTAAATTTTTTTTGAGTTCAAGCCTTTTCGAGTTCAAGTTTCAATATTATATTTCGAGTTCGAGTTGAACTTAATAATTTTTAGCTTGTGAGTTTGAGTCGAGTTGAGTTTACTTTTAAAGTTTTCAAGTTCGAGTTGAGTTTAGCAATACTCGAGTTCGACTTGGCTCGTTTAACAAACGACGTTGTTTGGTTTATTTAAAAAAAAAAAAAAATTGCCGGTTTTTCCCAGTTTTTTCTGGTTTTCAGTCGGTCCGGTTCGAACGGTTCAGCGGTTTCGGCCAGTTCACTAGTAGCAGTTCAACCGGTGTAGATTGAACCGGACTAGGCAACGGTTCCCAGTTGAACCGGCCGGTCCGGTCCGATTTTCAAAACACTAGAAAAAAGGTGAATTTATTCATGGATTTAATATTTAAATTAAATATATATTTATTTTAAATTAAGATATATTTTTTTATTTGAATATTAATAGGATAATTACTCTTTAAAATATGTCAAATTAATAGGTATTTATCATCTATTTAACTTTGAATATTAGAAGATAATTATATACTTTCAATATTTCAAATTAAAATAATATCTATTTAATTTTGAACAGTAAAAAGAGTTTAAATCTTTTAATATTTCAAATTAAAAGATAATTTTATCTGTTTAAATTTGAATATTAAAAGATATTTAGTTGAAGTAAATCTCTCGTGAAAATCCCTATAAATAAAGAACTAATCTTTCAGATTTTAAAACATCTCAAAATTCAAGAACTTCATAAATCTTGAAAAAAAAAATTATCTCCTTAGTTTTTCGGTGATAGGCAAAGTCAAGAAGTAGTTCGTGATCTTAAAAGTTTGTGCTACTGTTTGAATATCATCTAGTTGTTATATCATGAGAGATAGAGGACCAACGATCTTAAGTACCAAATGAGTGGTCGAATATCTGTCTTAAGGAAACTGTATAGCGACAGGCCTCAACTATTCCGATCGATTGATCTATCAAAAGAGTATTTTTTTCTTTATATTTTATTTTATTTATTATTTAAAAAATTTAACTTCATTTTTATTTTATTTTCTCAGGTTCAATTTCGTCTTGATTATTATTTTGGATAACACTCTTAAGACAGACTTTCAAATCACTCTTCTACCTTTCTTTAATCCGAAATGACTCGAAAAGTGTGGTGAAAATGAGATAGCAAATAAATTTGTTTAAGGATTTATCCTGCCGTCTGAACGGATTTTCTAAAATCTCATAGTGGACAAATTTATTTAACAGAAATTTTTGTGAAAGTAAAATTGGTTACTAATTTTGTTTCAGAACATTGATTCTGTTAGATAACAAAATCGAAAATAAACGAGAATTAATTTTTTGTTTATTAGAATTAATATTGATTCTGGTTCTGTTTCTTTATAGAAAAAAATGAAGGCAGGAAACTCCATCGGTTTACCCAACTTAGATGCTAAAATTGTGGTACCAGTTTAGAATCCAAATCTGAATGCAAGCCAACCTACAGTGACTGTTAACCACAACGAAAAGTCGACAAAAATCTCTGGAGAAAAAATTAAGATGTGGCAACAGAAAATGCTTTTCTATCTGACCACAATGAATCTTTCTAAGTTCTTAAAGGAAAATCCTCTTGTTTTTAAAGAGTGAGAAGGAGAAAGATATGTAGAATATATTACCGCCTTCAATATTGTTGATGGTTGGAAGCATACTGATTATATATACCGAAACATAATTATGAATAGTATACAAGATTCATTGTATCTGGTATATGATGGTTATGAAACAGCTAAGAGGTTGTAGGAGGCATTAGACCACAAATATAAAGCTGAAGATACTGAAGGTAAAAAGTTTTTAGTTGCTAAGTTCTTGAATTTTACTATGGTTGACTTTAAATCAGTAGTAAAACAAGTAGAGAAACTCCAACTAATTGTTAGTGAAATTCTTGCTAAAAGAATGGTCATAGGTGAATTATTTCAGGTATATGCTTTTATTGAAAAATTACCTCCTGGATAGAGTGACTTCAAGAATTACCTAAAGCAAAAAATAAGGAAATAACCATGGAAAAACTGATTGTCAGACTTCGAATAGAAGAGGATAATAGGGTTGATTCCAAAAAGCTCAACAAATAAACCGTTAAAGAGGCTAGGGCATACTTGATGG